CATTCTAATATGGCTTAAAAAGAAGTTGCGGCCCAGCCAAATAGACGACATAATAAGCGCCGAGATTCCGGATCCTGAGCAAGATAAAGAATTGTATGATACCATCGTCCGAAATATGATTCACGGTCCATGTGGAGCACGAAATTCAATATCGCCATGTATGAAAGAAGGAAAATGTACAAAGAAATTCCCTAAATAGCTATTCAAAGAAACAGTGCACAATGACAATGGCTACCCTTTGTCATTATGCACTGTTTCTTTGAATAGCCTGCTTTTATACAGACGCAGAGCTCCCGAAGATGGTGACAGGAAAGTTACAATCAAATCTCGCTCTGGAGCGTTCGAAACCTTAAATAACAGCTGGATTGTCCCGTATTCGACCATTCTATGTAAAATTTTTAATGCCCACATTAATGTAGAAGCATGTAGCTCTGTCCGCTCAATCAAGTATATCTGTAAGTACATAAATAAAGGAAGCGACCAAGCAATATTTAATCTCAGGAGTGAAGGTGAGGCAAATCACGTTAATGAAGTACAGACCTTTCAAGCAGGGCGTTCTGTCAGCAGTAACGAGGCAGCGTGGCGTCTCCTTGGCTTCCCTTTACACGAAAGGCACCCAACAGTTACTCACCTTGCTGTGCACTTAGAAAATGGAGAGCGTGTATATTTCACCAAAAGAAATATCCAAGAAAGAATTGCTTCACCGCCAAAAACTACACTAACAGCCTTCTTTCAACTTTGTCAAATCGACCCCTTTGCAAAAACGTTGTTATATTCTGAAGTCCCCCGCTATTATACTTGGAAGTGGAACACATCTAGGAAGGAGTGGAAACGCCGTATTCAAGGCGCGCCTGTTGCAAATTGGTCCGGTGTAAAGTCATCAGATGCCCTTGGTCGTGTGTATACCGTCCATGTAACTAATTTTGAATGTTTCTGTTTACGATTGCTGCTGCACCATGTTCGGGGTCCTACAGGATATAAAGACCTTAAAACTCTCAACGGCCGGGAATCCGCAACTTATAGAGAAGCATGTGAAGCTCTACATCTTTTAGAAAACGATAATCACTGGGATGAAACCATGGAGGAAGCTGTGCAGTGCCAGTCACCAGCGAAAATTAGGGATCTTTATGCAACTCTCATATCATCTTGCGGGCTATCTAATGCACATGAATTGTGAAACAAATATAAAGAGTACATGGCGGAAGATATTTTGCGAAGGTTGCAGCAGACACACGCAAACATGACATACAATGAACACATTTATAATGAAGCACTTGGAAAAATTGAAGATAAAGTAATGGCAATGGTAGGCAAAAAATTAAGCGACTTTGGAATGATAAGCCCTCAGCGAACAACCGAAAATTAACTAAGTGATGAAATTATACGTGAAACAAACTACGATATACCAGCTTTGCAGCAGCAAGTAGCCGAATTTATACCCCGCTTGCTTCCCGAACAAAAACGAGTTTTTGACAAAGTATTAGGACAAATTGAATCTGGAAATGGTGCACTTTTCTTTTTAGATGCCCTTGGAGGAACTGGGAAGACATTTTGTTAAATTTATTTTTAATATTATTAGCGCAAGTACGGAAAGATAAAAACATTGCTGTGGCCGTAGCTTCCTCCAGTATAGCCGCCACGCTGCTAAGCGGGGGCCGCTCTGCACATTCTGTTTTAAAACTCCCTCTAAATCTATTCCAAGAAGAATCACCGATCTGCAACTTTAGCAAAAGTAATGCATAAGGTATAATGCTACGACAATGCAAACTTTTAGTGTGGGACGAAAGTACAATGTCGCATAAAAAAGCTGTAGAAACACTAAATCGAACGCTCCAGGATTTGCGCAGCAATACCGATGTAATGGGAGGAATGGTGGTTTTACTGGCTGGTGACTTTCGCCAAACTTTACCTGTCATTCAAAAGGGCACACCTGCAGATGAAATTAAAGCATGCCTCAAGTCGTCTATTTTATGGAACAAGGTGACAAAATTCAGTTTAACTACGAATATGAGAGTGCATTTGTATAATGATATCAATGCTGGAAACTATGCTGACACACTATTAAAAATTGGCGATGGGCGGTTGGAAACGGATGCTGAGGGCTGCGTTAAATTGACGAGAGATTTTTGTAGTTTAGTACAGAGTCATACCGAATTAATTGCGAGCGTTTATTCAGCGTTAACGAACAACATGCATAAAGACAAATGGTTATGTGAAAGCTATATATACAAATTAGCAATGAAGCATCCGGAATATTCACGTAAATGCGCGCAAAGCGACGAGTGTTCGAGTGTAGATTTTCTAGAAACTTAGTTCTTCGGTTTGAGACTAGATGGCGCTGTCGGTCGACTTAAGCGCGTTACAATACGTATTATGGGTGGTGCTGGTGTAACCATAACTCCTCCCTCCTCAACTGCAAAGTTATCGGCAAGATTTGGATTCCGGTGACTTTGCATACAATGTAAAAGCTTAAACTTATTTTTCCAAATTAAATTAAAACTAATATAACATATAGTAGTACAGTAGCTAAACTAACACTTTTCTTATTCACTAAGATTTCACTTTCACTTTCCACTATTTCACTTTTCAGTTTGTACGAGAGATATTTTAGTTCATCCAAATTAACACGATTTAAATTCACTGTTTTCTCCGCATTTGTGGGCTAGTCTATCAATTTGGGTAGAGTTAAAATAGGTGTCACCTTATATTGCAGTTTTCCTGAATAGTATCGTTTGCGGTGTAATTTAATATTGCCTAATTTTATCTCACAGTTTTCCACAGCCACACGTTTTTGTAAGCACTATTTCATTTTGTGTAAATAGGATCCGGTTAATAGGACCAATAGACCGTATTTTAACACTTTCCAGCTCTACTATTGATAGTTTACAAAGGCTTAGATTTGATGCGAAATTCATAAGTTGTTCTATGCATGTGTTTTCAGGATACTGCACGATATCAATTTCCTCACACAGGAACTGGTTTGCTGCTATCTCCTGACATGGGTCATTTAAGAGTAAGTATGTGTTATCTTTTACCATGAGGTAAGGATATTTGGGAAAAATAACAGTTGTTCTATTATAGGTGGGATCAAATATAGGTAAAGCATACACTTAAAAAAATGTATGTAATCAGTCAGAGGGATTTCCATAATGAACGTTGTTTTTCTTTTATATAGGCTTTTAAAATTAAGTATATTAGTTCTAAAATTATTGACAAACATGTTAAACATACTTAAAACATATGTGGAGTATATGCTGTTATCGTCTTTAGTAATTATATATTTTACAATTCTTTCTATACGTTTCATTCGTTCCTTTACAATTTTCATATTTTCCTAGAGATCCAGTACTATTTATAAGAGATTCAAGCATCTCCGAGATTATTGTTATTTTCTTATTAGTGTGCGTTTGCTGGGTCTTTAAATGAGATATGAGATTGTCGTATTTTACTGCCTCATTGTGGTCTAAGTTTTCTGTAAGCGCTTTGATAACAGAACCTAATGGATTAATAAGACCGCGCTTGAAACGTATCGAAGGTATGAGTTGTTTAAACTTTTCTACAGCTAAGTTACTTAAATAATTTACTTGTGTGTTCATATTTTGGAATTCATTTACGTATGGCTTATGGATGTCTACTAAACTGCTAAATTCTTTATATTTATTGATATTAAAATTTAAATCATCTTTATGCCACTAAAGTCTAACTGCTTAACTATAACCCACTCATCTACTTTCTTGTATGCTTGTCCTTGCTTTACGGGTAACATGCCTGGATTATGCTCAACCTTTAGAAGTTGAAGGCTTTGGGTCCGGATTATCAGATTCAGGTTCACAAAGATCGCCAACAACATGTGGAGGGCGTTTCACATTTTTGAGGTGCACTTTAGTTTTTCTTTTCCCTATCGTTACAGGTATTATGTTTCTTTCAATATCACCTTGCACTTTCGCCTTTTGATACCTAGGCTTATCCTTACTTTTCCTTATGTTAATATCTTTAATAAAAACCGTATCACCTTCTTTAAAATCGATTCCGGATTCCCCGCTTTTCTTTTTCCTAACCTTCTCTTAATCTGTATGGACTCTTTCAAAAATGTACCTATGAAAGTATTTGGTTGGTCTCGCGTGGTCTTTAATGAGTTGCTGTGTATATGCCTTTTCAAAATCTACGTCGAATATTTTACCAGAATCGGTATGACCAAATGCTACTTCATATGATGTTAATCCTGTCGTTGAATGAATAGTATGATTATATGCCATGACTAAATATGCCATGACAGATGCAGCGTCTTTGCATTTATGTTCATATTTTGCAAGTCTGATGAAATCTTTCAACAATGCCTGTCGAATTGGGGTTATTGGGAGTTGTGATATGAATTTCTATTTTATACATAGATAGGAGCTGATGCATAAGTTCGTTATTAAATTCAGTTCCTGGAGCAGATGATATTTTCTTAGGAATTTCGTTGCAATCTCTAAGGCCTGCCCTAATTTGCTAAAAGCATCCACAACGGCTAAATAATACTTCTTATCAATAGTAAATAAATCTATAAATAGTTCCTGAAAAGGCGCATCCTGAGTTGATGTGAGTTGTAGTACAGGTTTTATTGGTTTCCTATTGTACTTCATTAATCTGCAAGGTTCACAAGCATTTACAACGGCAGCTACAGTACCTTGCATTTTCCCAATAATAGTTTCTGCGTATTCTTATCATAGTTTCTTTCACGCCGCGATGACATGTTTTTCCTTCATAGTGCTTGAGAATCACAGCTTTATGTTCTTTTCCATCCTCCACATATATTACGCGTTGTGTACATTCAAAGAATTGTACTGCATCCTTCTTAAATAGTTCTATAATAACTTTCGTAAATAATTTCCTATGCTCAGCGTTCTCGAATTAAATATAATAATAATAATAACAGCATGCCTCTCGAAAATCGACCGCAACTTCCCCGCATACCCCTAAGCAAGCGAAATCGGGCTGTCGTGAGGGCTCTTAACGCAATGCTGTTAACCTATTTGGAAGCCAGCTGGGACCTTTGCGAGACGGACTCAGTTCTTTTTGGCGCCGCAGTGGCAGCTTGCCGTATTATTGGCGCCAAACTTCCCATGGCTGGATGCGCTACTAAACAAAGTAGCGCCATCCCAGCCTGGAGAAAAAGAATTGAGGACCGTATCGCAAAGGCAAGGGCCCTTATCGGCAGACTGATAAGCTTCAGGTCGGGTAATAATAGACCGAGGGTTGTGCGCACCGTTAGAATGGCGTTTGCTGGGACAAATATCAGTTTGTCCCAGCCGGATATCACGCAGAAACTAATGGAGCGCATAGACGACCAGAAGCAAAAGATTGCTGCTTGAGGGAAGCGGATTCGCCGATTTACTGAGAGGTCAAGGCGGTTCAACCAGAATCGTCTCCTCCAGAGTGATTAGAAGAGGCTCTACAAATCATTGGAGCGACCAGAGGCATGTGGAGCCGGCCCAGGACCGGATCAGGCTAACACTGTCGCATTTTGGCGTGGCCTGTGGTCAGAGCCCGTTGACCACAGCGAGGGCCCTTGGATGGAAGTTGTGGCGAGTCAGTGTGCGAGTATTACGCCCATGAACCCCGTCACCATAACGCCGAATGACGTATCTGAGGCGGTCCGTAGAGCCCCGAACTGGAAAAGTCCGGGACTTGACGGACTGCATCACTACTGGCTGAAGGGGTTCATGGTATGTCACGCTGTGCTCGCCCGTCAGTTTCAAGAGGCTCTCAACTAGAAGTCGCTCCCTAGCCTCTTCACTACTGGGATCACTCATTTGGTTCCTAAAGACCAGGTTACCACAGACTCAAGCAAATACCGCCCCATTACGTGTCTACCCACCATATATAAGACACTGACATCCATTTTGAGCGCGAGAATCACTCGTCACCTGGAGCTAAATCAGGTTATGTCACGCGCTCAAAATGGATGTCGGGTGGTGGTCGTGGAAATAAGGAACCACTCCTCATTGACGCGGTCATTGGCAAAGTGGTGAAACGCAACCGTCGGAACTTCTCCGCCGCATGGATAGACTACAGAAAGGCATTCGACTCGGTGCCCCATACATGGCTAAAGAGAGTCCTCGAGCTGTACAAGATAGACTGTACAGTGAGAGACTTCTTCGAGCAGTGTATGGGGCAGTGGAGTACGATCCTTTGTCATCTAGGAATGCTAAAAATCACTTGTGAATTTAGCAAGAGAGACCGTATGGAAGGAGAAGGAGCTCCACGGGAGGTACTACAGGGCTCTACATGAGCCCTTCGTAGATACAGTCGCCTCCCTCAACAGGCTCGGTTCGGTGACCTCTTCGGGGAAACCGAGGGTTTTGTCTGTGCAATACAGGATCAGGTTATTAAGACCAACAACTATCGGAGATACATCCTAAAGGATGGCACTGTCGACGTCTGTCGAGCTTGTCGCCATCCCGGTGAGTCACTTAGGCATGTCATCTCCGGTTGTTCGGCGCTTTCTAACTCTGAGTACTTGCACAGGCACAACCTAGTAGCCAGAATTCTACACCAGGAGCTCGCTCTGAAATACGGTCTCGTGGACCGAAAATTGCCATATTACAAGTACTTGCCGGAAGCCGTGCTTGAAAATGACCGCGCCAGGTTCTACTGGGACCGGGCCATCATCACAGACAGAACTATTCTTGCGAATAAGCCTGATATTGTGCTGATGGACCGGGCACAGTCAAGGATATTTTTGGTCGACATTACTATTCCGTATGACGAGAACCTCGTGAAAGCCGAAACAGATAAACGAACAAAATATCTGGACCTGGCTCACGAGGTGACCGACATGTGGGGTGGTATGCCGTCCGAAATTATTCCTGTAGTCGTCTCTGCGAATGGGCTAATCCCAGTCAGCCTCACGGGTCATCTGAGGCGACTGGGACTCCGTGACGGACCGCTCCGGGCTCAAATGCAGAAGGCGGTGCTCCTTGATACCGCCCGCATCGTCCGGTGAATGACATGTGAGGTGGTATGCCGTCCGAAATTATTCCTGTAGTCGTCTCTGCGAATGGGCTAATTCCAGTCAGCCTCACGGGTCATCTGAGGCGACTGGGACTCCGTGACGGACCGCTCCGGGCTCAAATGCAGAAGGCGGTGCTCCTTGATACCGCCCGCATCGTCCGCCGGTTTCTTTGCCTTTCCCCCTAACCCTCGGCCGTTTGGTCTCCCCCTGCCGAGGGCTTCCATCTGGTTGGATCTTATTTATTTATGTAGTTTTTGTATTTATTTTTTATTGATATTTATGTATATTTATCTTTTTATTTTAATTTATAATTATATATTTATAGAACCCAAGCAGGTGAGAAAATTATATAGATACCCCAATAATAATAACCCACCTACGGGATCACCTTGTCGTGGTGGGGGGGCTTAAGGGAAAGGCATGTACTCAACTGCAGTCTGAACAACTATACTCTGTAACAATAACAAGGCAGGGTAATCTCTTTGCTTATTAATATTTAATGTAACCTTTCCCAACCTTTCCCAACTAACGATCCCAAACCAGGTTTAAAAAAATGAGTGCACAGCGTATACTACGGCCCCCAGTGCCCGGAAGATTCAGTAACCATGTCGACTCTGGCGGAAGTTGAGATGGTACTGTATCTTGGGGCGCATACAATCTCCGAGCGAGGAAGATTTCCCGTCAAACGACTCAAATGAGATCCACGAACACCGATACCCTTAGTGATAGTGATAGTTTATATTCCCCCGGAAACAATAGACAAAAATCAATACCAAACATTTCACACCAGTCTTTATCTTCTTCATTATCATCAAGTAGCCAATTGCTGAAGGATGATGCACAGCAAATAACTCCTGTTATAGAAACTGTGCCCACCATCAGTAACCGTAACACGCGTAAAAAATGGACTTCTGAAATGAATGAAATTATATTGCGTACTTACCTATATTTAACAATGATGGATACTGACACTAAAGGTTATTTACAACCATTACACATGAAATTTATAGAACGATTCCCAGATATGCAAGTTACTCGACAAAGAATAGGAGATCAGCGAAGAGCAATAATGAATAACAAACTTTTGCCCCAAGAAATAGTAAATCAAATTTATAATGAAGTGCAATCAAACTTACAGACTACATTTGCCCAATCAATCTCTGTTACACAAAATAATCAACACACTAATACCCACCCTTTACAAACACAATAACTCATGAAATGGAAAGACGAATATAATGAAGCTATAATAAGAATTTACTACAAAATAACTCAATGTGAGAAAAATAAAATAGCATATAGGAAACTCTTACACCAAGAGTTTATAAATCAATTCCCCCATTTAAGTCATTTGACAGAGCAACGCATAGCTGACCAAAGAAGATTAATTCTAGATAAGAAATATTTAAGTGTTGACCGCTTAGAATTAATTAAGAATGACTTGCAAGAACAGCATAACGATATACAAGCCAATGACAACTTAATACTTCAGTAAGCATCACAGACAACGAAGGACCAGATACTGAAAGTTTAAATTTAAATGCTGAAAACCACACAACAAATGAAAATGAAAATGAAAATTTACATAGGGAAAAGATAATTGCCATAGATGAAATGTTTGCTAAAGCTTTAGAATATTTTGCTAATACAAACCCAACAGAAAGACCATTTATACCAAAGCAGATGTTATCCAAAAAAGTGAGTAAAATAGTCGCCTATGTAAATAATATTTTATTGCCACAACACATCAACAGCGAAATTGAATTTAAAACATTTCGAAATTTAGTATACTGTGCAGCATGGACTTCAGCTAATCTCAACGGAGCTAAAATTTAAATAGCTGTACAAGTTGATAATCCGTTAGGACTTGAGAAACAAAAGAAATATAATAAGCCAAAGTGGGAACAAAGATTAGAAAACAAAGTAAGTGAATTAAGAGCAAAAATTGCAAGGCTAACACAATATATTAATGGAAACCGAGGTCAAAAATTAATCAAACACGTAAATGCTAACCTTGAACAGCATAAAATTCATTCTGTCCACGAAGAACTTAACAACAAACACGAACATTTTTTAGACACACTTAAACAAAAACTTAAACTTACTAGTAGTCGGTTAAAAAGATATAGAGCATGCTCTCTACGAAAAACTCAAAACATTCTATTTTGCTCAAATGAAAAACTTTTCTAGCGTAATATAAAAAATCCTATTAAAAATAAAATCAGCAATTTGAAATGCTCCGAAAATAATATCTTACCATCACCGAGAGAATTACAATGTTACTGGTCTACAATATGGAAGGAACCTAAAGATTATAATACAGAAGCGGATTGGATCAAAAATCAAATAGACATATCACAGATTAAAGCCATGCAATTTCAACACATCAAGATAGACACTTTCCATAAAGTAATTAAAAAACTACATAATTGGAAAACACCTGGATCAGATAATATACATAACTATTGGTATAAAAAGTTTACAACTATCCACCCGATTCTGTTTAATTTTGTTAATAAATTCATACAAAGCCCGCATACCTTGTCGCAATATATTAATTCAGGAATAACGTATATGATACCAAAAGACCCTAGCAATCTTGACAATCCTGCAAAATATAGGCCTATCACATGTTTACAAACATTGCTGTACCAAATAATTACATCTTGCTTAACCGACAACAATTTATGAAAACATAGAAGTCTAATAACATGTAATTGTCAGAATGTGGAACAAAAAGGTTGCATAACGAAATTATAGTCCGGGTTGCTAAAGAACTGCTCACAATAGATGCAGTAGTATAAAAGCGACTTCACAATCATTAAAAGAAAAGATTTATTAGCTCATAAACTTAGTTTTAAACATATATTCAATTGCAAAAAGCAGTTTTACTTAATACTTGTAGAATAGTTAGAAAATTTATCTCTACAGAAAACTACCCATAATCAAACAAGTTCATGGTACCCACTCGGCTTTGTCCCGTGGTAATAATCATTAATCCAGTTTTGTTATAAATAAAAAATAATAAATTAATAATAATAATAAACTTTATTTCAGATCAAGTCCATAGATTGGTTAGTAACATAACATTATTATAGATCTATTGTTAGTTAAATTGCTTAAAATTCTAAGAAAAGAAACAAAAAAGTCATAAATTTTAACAACAATATCAATAATTATTAAAACTTACTTACATATAAAAAAAATACATTTTATTATAATATAGTATCGACTCTTAAATTTTATATATTCCTTTAAAAATTGTTTTATTAATTCTTTGTTTTCTATTGGGAGAAATACCTCTAGTACTTTTTGTTTTGCTCTAGATACATTTCTGACTTGTAATTTATTTTGGAA